CAACTTAAAAAGGGAAGGGGGAGAAACAAACTTTGGACATATAGAACAATACAATTTTAAGAACACAACATTCATACCATTCAGGTTGCCAAGGATGAGAAACACTAGTCCAATGTGACTTGTCTGGCACTAGTTCTGTGATCATTAAAACTGGTGTAATGTAATATCTATGGTATGTAAATCAGGGGTGTCAAACTCAAGGCCAGGGGGCCGGATCCAGCCTGTGGAATGCTTAGATCTGGCCCGCGGGACCGCCTTGGAAACAGTGATGGACTTGCCCGCAGCGCGTCTGCCAGCACATGGCCCTCTCGAACTCCATTTTCTCTGGTAGAGGTTTACAGGGGGACATTGCAACTGAAAATGGAGCTTGGCACCCTGTTTCTGCTGGCAGAGCGCTTGGGCCACCACAGGCACCCCGATACAAGTGACGTCACGCTGGTCATGCTCATGCCCATCCCCACTATGCCCACCCTGGCCCTCCGAGGTGAAACACAACCCTGATGCGGTCCTTAATGAAATTTAGTTTGACACCCTTGATGCTGGATTCCCACCCAGGTTTGAGAGTGGATAAGAAAACAGATAAATACTGCCTGGCAGAGCAATCCACCTAGACTTTTCCTGTCACTTCTCTTCCGATCTCATACACAACTTGCTCCAAAATTTATTTCTAAGGAAAAGGGAAACAGATCATCTTCTCATCTTCCCATGGATCATCTACATTCCAAGAAAGTGTGAAGCGACTCTGTGCATTGAGCTTTTTCAGGCATGGCACTAGCCTCACTTTGGGGGGTGGGGGGATCTTTGAAAACACTGCCTATGCCTAGAGAAGTTTGTAAAAACCATCCAGTAAACCTTCAGTAAGAAGATTGAAAGGGGATTTATCTTGAGTTCTAATGCAAGGATGTCTGTTACAAGGAGTGGGGGAAGGAGTTAGTTAAAAATCTCCCAATGCCAGCAGCCACTGTGCCATCAATGTCCAACCCCCCAACCCATGCATTCTGCGTAAAAAAGGGGGCAGGGCTTCTGTTGCATGGCTGTGGCTGCCATCTTGCCTTTTCTGATCCCCCGCAACACTCCTGCTCTAATGCTAATATGTTCCTAAAGCTCCCACATCTGTAAAAATAATACCCCCTCAGCTTTAAAAACAGGGGCGTGAGAGAAAGCCCCTTTCCAAAAAATTAATTGTAAAGCCTTTCTACCCAGGCAGACATCCAAGCACAAACAAGTAATTTCCATTCCATGATTGAATGCTATCAATTATAAATAAAAAGTATTTCCATAGTCTCTCCTTCTTCTGTACCACAAAGTAGAGGAACATATATGTTCCATTAAAAGAGGTTTTATGCTTCACCAATGTCCACCAATTAATTTTCATTGCACAACTTCTTCGGTTCAAAGCATGGTGGATTGCCAATTTAATTCCTCTTTTTAAAGTAAAATATAATTCTCCCAGCACAATTGTGGGGCACATCTATACTTCTTAAAAACAACATTGTGCAAAGGTTAATATATTTAAAGAGAATCCGGGAGACCATGTTTAACTCTTGCCCTTATCAAAACACCAAGAAAAGATCTATGTGAACTGAGGTTGAATTACAATCTGTACGATCTTTTCTGCACCTTTTCCAGTTTCACTGTCATAAAAATAGTGCTAGCTGAACATGACGGCAGTCAGTGCTTATCATTTCCTAGGTAATAACACTGTGATTTTGAAAAGATCAATTTCAACTAAAAACTGTTAAATTAAGATTTCTATTGTCAATTCCTTTCGGAAAAACAAAGCAGGAAATCGGTGTCAGAAAGACGGTCTGATGAGAATACTACACTGACATCCCAAGTAAACCAAATACATGGACAAGAGACTCAAATCCAAGCATCATAATTCAAAGCTCATTTTCCTTGGGTAAAGCGCTGCTGACTGTCTGCTCTGCTACAAATTGCTTTGCAAGATCCATGGCTTCAAAATGATATATCTTTAACCAGCTTGTACTGGGGCTGCCCTTCACGACTGGAACATTTCACCAAAGTCATAGCAATAGTCCTAGTCTGCGTTAACAATTCCTTGTCACTTCAGATGTGCAATGGATTAAAAAAAATCAAAGACAAAGGCAATAAAAACATCCAAAAATGTGGGATAAAGGAGAAAAGAAAAAGAAAGAGGAAAAACGATGTCAATAAAAGAATATTCATGCTTGCTAACGTTTTAATACATAATCATGTTTTTGTTCAATAGACTGGATTGAAAAAGAAAACAATGATGAGACTATGGATGTTTACATTTTTAAGCAATTAGAAAAATCAACCATTTTTTAACATACTGTACTTCTGGGATCGTGATTCGACAACTGCACTAGTGTGCAAATTCAAAGGTCAGGATTTGAGGGGGGGGAGGAATAAGCATTTTTGTGTACCTTGTTCTAGATTTCCTCACTTTCCTTCTCCCAGAAATATGAATGGCTAAGCAAACTGGAAAGCGCACTCTATATTTTTAGCATTACAGTTGAAATCAAAATGTGTTGGTCAAAAATTTGTAATCAAAGCCCTATTCTTCATTCTGAGCAAGAGTGAAAAAGATGTAGGATAGCGGTGTCCAACTTTGGCAACTTTGAGACATATGGACTTCAATCCATGGCTGGCTGGGTAATTCTGGGTGTTAGACACCCCTGGTGTAAGTATTGATCAAGGCTGATAATTTTTTTGACACACAAACCTGCAGACACCTCCACTCAGGATAGATGGTTTATTTCACCATAAGCCTGAATTTGTTCTTGGCTTCTTAAGGGAGAAATAAGATTGGCTTAGATCTGAGGCTACATCAACATGATGTGTCTAGCCATGGTTGATTCAGCCACAGATCTAGGCCAATCTTATTTCTAGTTTTCTACTAGAAATTTCTGCTAACAAGTGAAACCAAGTCAGAAATAAAGAGTAACATGCCCTCAGAATACAGCCATGGTACCAATTCTCTAACTTTGATATCTAAAGCAGGGGTGTCAAACTCACGTCGTCATGGCGTCGTGGTGTGACATAGCAGGACTTCGCTAATCGGGCATGGGCGTGGCCAGAGCATGATGTATCCGGCCCGTGGGCTGGGAGTTTGACAGCCCTGATCTACAGCCTCAACTCTATGGTTACTTTACAAGCACTTAAGCTCTTATGTCCATCTTGCCTTTTATTTAATCTCTTTTCATGGAACTAATATCAACAAAACCTGCTTCTGAAACTATTCCATGTTACATGCCTCCTGCTGCATGGATGAGGAAACCAGTTAACAAAAAAAATGTCTTTGAAAATTTGAATTCTATAGCAATCAGCCAGTTACAAAATATAGTAGGTCATCTGCAAGCGGAGCCTCTCAAGGTTTTCTGACGGCTTTAGAGCTGCTAGTATCGGAAGGCTGTGCAGACCACATTTAGTCCCCCGCAAAAAAGGGGGGCAGAGCCCCTGGATTGGACTGAAAACATTCCCTGTAGCTTTTCTACTTTCAACTCATCCTTCAATGCATCATCAGTCTACAGCTGCAATGCAAAGGAGATCCAAGTCTTATCCTCTACTGCCACACAGTTTGCTGCACCCAGCACAGCATATACTTAGGTCAAAGGGAGCTTGGAAGAATTGCTAACAATATGGAAAAGTCAAAAGGGACGAAGGTTTTGGAATAGCTAACTGTAATCTGCAAAATGGGTTATAATGTGATTTAGAGTAGAAAGGAAGAGTGTATTCCTGCAACTTGGGGAGCAGGGGCAGGATTCAGCCGGTTCGGACCAGTTCGGGCGAAACAGTAGCTCCGACGATCAGCTGAGAGCGAACTGGTTCACTCCGATGATCAAGTGGGTCTGCCCGCCTGCCCCTGTGCTTTACTGACCTATTCTTCCTGTGTTTGAAGCCCAGCTGATAGGCACGGTAGAGTGGTTTGCTGTGCCTCAGCTGTTCTACTCACCAGGGCTGCACTAGAAGGTAAGTTTTTGAGCTGTTTTCAAATGTATTGCGTGTGCGCGGAGCGCGCAAAGCGCATGCTCGACAAACTGGTTGTTACACTGGTTGAATCCTACACTATTGGGGAGGCATCTTCTATGTTCACAGAAGTATATCAAATCAGATCAGTTTGAATTATGGCTGTTCTTGCATGAACATGTATTCAAAGTTAAGAGCAAGTTAAATGTGAAAAATTATGTCCTATTCCTTTTGGCACAATATGCAGGTAACTGGGTCTATTACCTGCCAAACTAGCATGTAGTGCTAAGCCAAGGTCTGTCCCATGTTACAACTTATGTGGATCAACATAAATTGGATCAAACCCAGTTTCTGCTTTCCTCCCATCACCACCATCTTCATCATAGGTTAGCCAGACAGACTTTTGAAGTTTTTATTTTTTATTTTTTTGACACTCAGCTTGTCAATGCATGTGAAGTAGAAATTGTGGTTTTTAACAAGATCTCAAGCCATGGATTATAAATCCGGGCATTAAACTGAGCATGAAAAATAGTGGTGATTATATAAAAATACCATTAAAATTTGCCAAGGTTTGCACCTGAGAGGAAGATATAAGCCCAGGGGTTCTCTTGCACTAAGATGGACAAGAGAAAATGAGTAAGAAAAAACTGAAAAGACTCGTGTTGTACCTTTGTTCCAGATGCTTCATAGTTGCGGTAATCTCACTAGTTTTATCCTCCAGGCGACCAATTATTTCATTCTTTTCTTTCATGGCTTCATCTGAAAACTATTATTAGAGATTATTACATTACAATATGGTAATTATCATGCAGTATAGCTTTTCTTTCTTCTGCGGCTTTCTTCTCTCTGAACCAACTCTGAATGCTGAAATCTCTGCTAAAAGTAGTAGTGGTCCTTTAAGCCACGTAGGGGGAAAAAACAACTCCAGTATTCATCAGGAAAACTTCAGTCCTGCAAAACTACTGCATGTTTTTCAGTTCCCAAACCACTTCATGTACTCAATTGACTTGGAAGGACAAAGAAGAGGGAGAAATGTAGCTGATGTCAGAATCATATCTGTATCCGATTAGATAAATAAAAAATTTACCTCCAAGACGGGCACTGTTTTATCACTGTCTATGAATGGGGAGGCCAGCAACCACTGTTTTTTATTTTCCTTTAGCCTTTCTGGGAGGGAGAGTACAGGCAGTCCTTGCTTAACTAACATATTTGGAACTGTCTATAGCATGGGTTCACTCTCGGCTTACAGTCAGAGCTACCAGTTCTACCTAACTGGTCCGAACCAGTAGGAACCTACCACTGATTTTAAGGTGTTTAAGAAAGGATTCACATCCCTAGCCCTGCATGTAGAAGCTGATCAGCTACGGAGCCCTTGTGTTTTGTTCAATTAGCAAAGGATTCTATTGTTAGCTGGCCAGGCACTACCAGTTAGGATACTGGCTGCACAGACATTTCTGCAAGAAGGGCTTCCATATTATTAATATATAGGATCGTTCACATGTTTAGTGATGGCTGATGCTAAGCACGCATGGCTCAGCATATCATACAACCAAGTTCATGACTCTGTTTAAATGGCACTGTCACCCCAAATAGAGAAGATGCTTTGGGATAACTGCCAACAGTTGACCCTGAAATCCTAGGGGGGGGGGAATCAAACCCCCAAACACCACCAGACATCATTACATTACACTTATATATTTTAGTTTCAAAATATAAATAATGAACTACCTGCAGTTTTTGATACATTTCTGTATTTATCACTTTGACTTCCTCCAGCTGTTGCCGCAGATTTATAAGAGTGTCTTGCTTTTCATGTATATCTTTCTCCAATAACTTCATTGCAAGTTCTATCTCATGCTTCATACCAACTTGGACCATCAATTCATTCTCTATATCCTACAAAAGATAAAAACAAAGAATCCCACATTACACCCAAATCTTGTGTTTAATTTTAGATTGAACAGTTCTAGCAAAACAGCATGACTGATGATTGACATCTGCATGCAACTCCCTAAGTACAAGTAGTCCTTGCAATACAACTGTAATTGAGCCTACCCATTGCAGTCATACTGTATGTCATAACAGTCGTAAAATGGGTCCGCCGTGTGACCAGAATGATTTTACAACCTTTCTTGCAATAGTTGTTAAGCAAGTCATCATAGTCATTAAGTCGTGAAGTGAACTAGTGATGTGTTATGGGCACAATTTTGCTGAAAACTGGAAGTAAGTGACAGTTTTTGGCAAACGTGTCATAAAATACAGTCACATTACTGAAGGATACTGCAACCAGCTATATATGCAACTGTGTTGCCAAGTGTCCAAAGTGATGTGACCATAGAGGAGGCCCAACTGTCAGAACTTTAAATCTGAGTCATAAGTCCCCTTTTTAGGTCAGTAGTAACTCTGAACAGTCACCAATGATAAGTCAAGGACTACCTATATGTAACTCCAAGGAATATGCAGAAGCAACCATTCAGAATTTATATAACACCCACTCACTTGTCTTAACTGTGACTCTTCTCGAAGCTGTCTATGTGCTTCATTGTACATTTCATCCAGGCTTTGTCGGGAATGTTTATATGTCTGAAGTTCTGCTTCAGCATCTACTTTATTCATCTACAAAGAAAATAAGGAAAATTGTTGTAGTTAAAAACTTCCTCTTCCTAGAGCAGGTATGCCTAACCTTGACAACTTAAGATCTGTGGACTTCATCTACCAGAATTCCCCAGCCAGCCATGCTGACTGAGGAGTCTGGGAGCTGAAATCCACAAGTCTTAAAATTGCCAAAGATACATAATCTTATGTATTTTATAATCCGTAAGATTTTATAATCTAGTAAGAACACCTCCTAAGTTTTCTTTGTGTTTGTGATGAGCTTGGGACAATGAAAGAGTATTATGTGGAGCTATGCATGTGTCAAAAATGATTTAGATTGTATATAAGCTACAGTACCCATTTTAAAAGTATTGTAATATGTATAAATAATATTGAAAATGCTGAACAACGCTCCTTCTATACTTTGGAATCTGCTGTATTTGTTATTGCTCATAAAACGTTCCTTATGGCAATACTGTTATGAAAACCTCATTTTCAATAAGCCAGTGAAAGCTAGTACAGCACACCAGGTGAATATTTGAAGTTTTTAAAAATGGGGGTTGGCAACCAATTCTCCTTCCAAAACTCCAGCTGTAACTTGAGGTATGCAAAATTTAGCCAGGCCTCATTAATTCAGTTTGTATGTCCATCGTGAGTTTGGAACATCGTGCTTCCACATCTCCCGTGTACCAGTGAAATAGATGAGAGCAAAATTTGGGGCCTTTTCTTTTTGCAGAGAAGTCTGCAAAAATTTAAGAGGTAGAAATGTGTGTTTCGAGCCTTGCAGTACTACAACCAGAGGTGGGATTCAGTTGGTTCGGGCCGGTTCGAGCAAAGTGTTGTTGAATTGCTGGCTGGCTCTGCCCCTTCCTGCCCCGCCCCTTCCAGGAGTCCCAATGCGCCTTGTTTTGGTTCCCAGGTAAGTGCTGTGAAGCCTACTAGGCCTAAAACAGGAGGTGGGGTGCACCACTCCCCTCCTGTGGCCCGGTTTTGCTCCCAGGGGGGTGCAGGAGGCTGAGTGCTCCATGTCACACCCCCTGGTCACGCCCTTCATGGCCACGCCCCCCTGGTCAATCATTAGGGCAGAGAACCGGTTGTTAAATTATTTGAATCGCACCACTGACTACAACCCTTTACCAAATATAGGGCAACAGTTTTCACCATTTACTTCAATGATGTCATAACATAATAAAATTCATTGTTCCCCAATTGCCCCTTTTAATTCTTTTACTGACTCCACTTACACATCTTTGAAATGGCCACAGGCTGTCCTTCCTCTGGCCTGCTGTTCTGGTCTTCGAATGGGCCATTTGTTAATTAACCCATTAAAATACCAAGTGGTATTCCCACTTCACTGTCTTTTGCCTCAGCTGCATGTCAGTTTTACTTCCCTGTTCTACTTTGTAAGGTCTATTTTTATTCCATGTTTCAGCTGCTTCACCATTTTTCAGTTCTTTTCTTTGAACTGAAATCATTATGCTGACTTCTGCGGTTTAAAACGCTCCCTCTGAATATTTTGCAGGTGGTTACTTTGTCTTTCTAGACATTTTTTTTACCCTGCCTACAAAATCTTTCTAAACATACAGGGTTAACATTAGATCGGATTAAAAAAATGTTGTTCCCCATGTCCTGACTATCTTGACAAAGGGATGTAAATCTATTTTGGAATGACTAGAATAGAATAGCAGAGTTGGAAGGGACCTTGGAGATCTTCTAGTCCAACCCCCTGCTTAGGAAGGAAACCCTACACCACTTCAGACAAAAGGTTATCCAACATCTTCTTAAAAACTACTGATTAATTGTTCTGCCAGGAAATTTCTCCTCAGTTCTAAGTTGCTTCTCTCCTTGATTAGTTTCCACCCATTGCTTCTTGTCCTACCCTCAAGTGCTTTGGAGAATAGCTTGACTCTCTCTTCTTTATGGCAGCCCCTGAGATATTGAAACATTGCTATCATGTCATCCCATACTCCTTCTTTTCATTAAACTAGACATACCCAGTTCCTGCAACCATTCTTCCTATGTTTTAGCCTCCAGTCCCCTAACCATCTTTGTTGCTCTGCTCTGCACGCTTTCTAGAGTCTCCACATCTTCTCTATAACATGGAGACCAAAACTGAATGCAATATTCCAGGCCTTATAAAGTTCTATTAACACTTCACACGATCTTGATTCTATCCCTCTGTTTATGTAGCCTAGAACTGTGTTGGCTTTTTTGGCAGCTGCTGCACACTGCTGGATCATATTTAAGTCGTTGTCCACTAGGACTCCAAGGTCCCTCTCACAGTTACTACAATTGAGCAAGGTAAACTACTGAGTTTAGCATAAATTAAATGCCCCTTCATGGCATGGTATACTTACAAGCGATCTTCCAAAATATCTCCCTGAATCTGTTGCCTAGAGTCTTGAAGTACATAAAATGCTTAAATATTATATTTTTATAGAAAATTACATTAAAAATGGCAATTTTGACAAATCATGAATTATTTTAAAATATCGTACCTCCAGATGATGTTGTGTTTTCATTAAAATGAGTGTGTTTTCACTTCTTAAATGATGGTTTTCTTCTTGTAGTTTAATTATATTGTTTTTAGCTATCGCCAACTAAAAGAAAGGTAGAGTGCAAAAATTTAAAACAATCCAAAAGCTTTCTAACAGCAAAAAAACAAAAAAACAAACAAGTTGAGACTCAAAATGCTGCATGAAAACATCACAGTCTGCTAATCACATCACTGCACTACTTCAGGATATTTATGTAGGGCTTATTTCATTCACCCTTTTCTACTGTCAACAAACAAGGACTCGTGGCAGTTTTCAGGAAGCAGAAATCCAAAATGTGCAACTGAAGATATTAATCTCAATTAAAATCCAACATTAATAATAGCTAAGGAATGTTTGATATGCAGGGTGCCATGAGTTTGGGCACTTGTAAAAGGCTATCTACCAGGAAGGGCTGTGGTATCTTTTAAAAGATCTTGCTGCGAAGAGTCATGTAGTAAGCAATCTGCACAATTGCAAAGGAATTTATATACACATACAGAGGGAGGGAGGGAGGGAGGGAGGGAGGGAAAGAGAGGGGGACAGAGGGAGACAGAGGGAGACAGAGAAGGTGTGTGTGTTTGTCTATAGAGATTCTCAGCCATCCAGGTTGTCTCAAAGGTGCTTTTTCAGGAGGCAACTGGACTTTCTTTTTTTCCCCTTTTAAATATGTTTTGCTTCTCATCCAAGAAGCTTCTTCAGTTCTGACAGGATAGACAAGATAGATGCTTCCATTCCTCACTATCCTGTCAGAGCTGAAGAAGCTTCTTGGATGAGAAGTGAGTGTCTTCAAAAGAAAAGACAAGAAAGTCCAGTTGCCTTCTGAAAAAGCACCTTTGGGACACACACACATGCGCGCGCATACACACACACACATCATAGGTATGCCCCATCGCACTTGTACAGACTCTCAGCAGCTTGAGAGAATGTTCTCTCAAGCTGATGAGATAATGTTCTATATGGGTTGGTGGTTTTGGATTCTCCATCCACACTGCTATCATACATATTTTAGGTCCATTTCCAGGTTGTCCATGAGGCTGGGGTCAAAAAGGTCAAGATGGCTCTAGCAGGGCTTCAGTGGCATGGTCATGGCCATCTTGACATTTTGGGCACCTTTGCAGATGTTCCTGCTTATATGGCAAAAAAAAATATGCAGGTTTGTACAGATGGATCAGGATTTCAGGGCTAAATGCAGCTGAGCGAAAAGGAGAACATCCAAGAAACCGTGACCCGTCAAAAGCGCGAACGTCATAAGCGTGCCGACAACACCGCAGCGCTAAAACCGCGATTTCAAAAGCGTGCCGACAACAGCGCGCCAAGAACAGCGTGCCAACAGAAGCGCTATTTCATTTAAGGTAAGATTTACAGTTAGGTTTAAGGTTAGGTTTAGGGTTAGGTTTAGGGTTAGGTTTAAGGTTAGGTTTAGGGTTACGTTACAGCGCGCTTCTGTCGGCGCGCTTTTGTCGATGCGCTTTTGTCAGCGCGCTTTTGTCGGCGCGCTTTTGTCGGCGCGCTTTAGGGCTAATTAGTCGCTCATTTGTCGTGCGGTTTTGTCACCGCGCTTTAGACACCGCGGTTTAGTCAGGCGCGCTTTTGTTGTGCACGCATTTGTGGTGGAACCCCAAGAAACTAGGCCACTAGCCTCATGCTGCTCAGATGTTCTGTAACAAACAAGGCACCTCTTGGCCAAGGGAAACATCCTGGGTGAAACAAACCAAAACAAATCCCAAACTAAAATAAAAAACCCCAAACCCCAAATACAAATAAAGACTCCTAATTTCAACATATTATTGAAATTAAAGTGTACATTGCTTGAAAGACAATACCTCTTCGATTAATTTAGTGTTTGACTTCTCTAGTGAATCAACGCGGGTATGGAGGCTGCCGACTGTACTACTAAAAAGGATAAAAAAAATATTCTTCAGAATTATTTCTACAATTACACAGTAGTACAAACTGGTTTACAAAACCTCCTAGCGGTGGCTCGGTACCCAGCAACAAATGCATCAGAAGACACATCCTAATACCACTCCTCAAAATACAGTGTTTTCTATCAGATTTTTTTTAGACTTCTGTATCTAGCTTATAGCCCTGATATATCCCAATGGTCACCCTACTTAAAATCAAGAAGTGATTCAGTATAGCTTTTTGACATCACCCAAAAGTAGCTAACTGCTATTATTCAAAAGGAGAACTATCGGTAGTTCTTGACTTATGATCGATTGTTTAATGATCATTGAAAATAACGATGGCCTTGGAAAGGATGCGTTATGGTCTATAAAGCACTTCTTACCATTATAAAACATTTGCCTGCCCATAGTCAGATGAACTGCATTTTGCGCATTTGGCAATCAACTTACATTTACAACCAGTTTCAGCATTCAGAATCAGAATCAAACTAGAGCTGAAAAGGACCTTGGAGGTCTTCTAGTCCAACCCCCTGCTCAAGGAGAAGACCCTATATACCATTTCGGACAAGTGACTGTCCAGTCTCTTCTTAAAAACCTCTAGTGATGAAGCACTCACAACTTCTGAGGGCAAGCTGTTCCACTAGTTAACCCTAACCCTATCCCTGATAATTATCAAAGTAATTATTTTTAAAACAGAAGGCATCATTCCCTAACACAACTTATACTTACTTCAATTGTCGGTTTAATTCTTCAACATAATTCTTCTGATCCAATATTGCAGCAACATGGTCATTTCTAAAAGAAATTTAGTTTTAGTTTAGAATATTTAATGTTTAATTAGACATTTGATCTGAGATCTGAGTGTTGAGAACTGCATGTGAAAAATTTCTATTTACTATTCTGGAAATATGTTGTCTTAATAAATGTTCTCCATAAATTAAAAACCAATATCTGAATTATTGACTTGGCTTGAAATTTAGAACCTTCTGTGTAATTAGCACTAGTAACTGAATAACCACCATCAACAGACTTGTAGTCTGTTAAAAAAAAGGATTCTTTTGGTTTTCTCAAAAAATTGGAAATTGAACATTGCTCTAAGGCTGGGTTGGACAACTATGGCCCCTTTACGTCCTGTGGACTTCAACTCCCAGAATTTCTGAGCCAGCATGTCTACAGGTCATAAAGAGGCCAGAGTTGCCCATCTCTCCTCTAAGGATTCACATATGACTTTGATTGTCCATTTCCTCAAATTTGTATTAGATAGTGATAGGATGACTGTTCATACATCTCTTCTGCATTTCTGATTTAAACAATCCCCTTTCATTAAACAAGAGACTCTGATGATTTTTTTTAGTTGTTGCATGATTTCTGCTTTTTGCCCTTGAAATCTGTGGCCCCAAAATGTACAGCTTTTTTCACAGTAGACTAAAATGTTATAATTACTATTATTTTCCAGATTCATAGAGATTTACATAACAGGAGAATGTAATAAAAGTAAACACAGATGAAAACACACACACACACACAAAACACTTACATGTACAATCAATAAAATAAGCAAGAGCAAGTAAGAGTCACCTTCCAGGGAAGATGGGGACATAAAGTTTTAATAAATAAATTGCTTCTGGACTTTGTGCTTGAGGTGGAAAAATGAAACATTGACTTTGGTTTTGCTGATTAGATAGGTTTGTATAGAAATGACTAGTTTACATTGCTATGTAAAAACAAAATGTTCAGGCTATATGTTATTAATAGAAAGTCAATGCATAAATTTGTCATTTTTAAAAAGTAAAATTTGGCCTTCGCTAATTTGAAGAGAAAGTCAGTTTGAGCTTATGCTGGACAAGAAGTGTGGAAAACTGAGTTCTAGCCCAGCTTTAAGTACAAAGACAGCTTGGTGACTTTGGACCAGTCCCTCTCTTTCAGCCCTAGGAAGGAGGCAATGGCAAACCACCTCCAAACATGTCAAGAAAACTGCAAGGACTTTGAAGGAATTAAAAAAATAAAGCCCACGCAACTTCAAGAAAGCCAGCTCTGAGGGGCCAGATTAACATCTCCATGGTTGGTTCTTGCATAGCATAATCCAGCCATTTCTGGCCTCAGTCCCCTCCCCTCATGAAGTCAGGGTAACAAGAGCAACTTGTAGATCTGGTTGGAGTACCGTATTTTTCAGAATATAAGACGCACATTTTTTCCTCAAAAAAAAAAAAAGAAGTGAAAATCTGGGTGTGTCTTATACACAGAATACAGCATTTTTGGCTTACCGAAACCCCGCCCTGTTTGCAAAAATGGACGTGCAGAGGGTTTGGGAGGCTTGCAAAGTGCTCCTGGGGGCTGGGGAGGGCCGTTTTTGCTCATTTTTGTCCCCCCAGCCCCCAGGAGCACTCTACAAATCTCCCAAAGCTCTGCATGCCCCCCCCCCCTTTTTTGCAAAAAAACGGCAGAGGGTTTGAGAGGCCTTTAGAGTGCAAAAACTTTTTTTTAAATTTACTTCTTCAAAATCATGGTGTGTCTTATACTCCGATGTGTCTTATAGTCCAAAAAATACGGTAGATGGGTATGCAACATGTGTGAAGCCTTAAAGGGCTTTGAAAGTCAGAACTAACGCACATTAGGTACAACATGACATAAAATGGATCACGCGTAAAGATTCCCTACTTCTGAACAGAAGGAATATTTTCTGTGAAGGGAAGGACACTTTTGATCTTGCAGGATGGTGGGTTTTTCAACCATTTAGTTCAACATGCTAAAAGTTCTACTAAAACTCACCTTTCTTTATGTTCAGTGTCATCGTCACTCTTTAGATACATGGAGAAATCAATTACGCCAACCTTTTTAAAAAAACCAAATTTTGCAAAATGAAATGAAGGAACAGCTAAGGGATAAGCTTCATTCTCCTGGATATTTAATCCAATTCAACAGAATTTGGAAATTCCAGATTTGGTATTGATCACATTAATGGGTTGGATTATAATGACTAAGGCCATTGTGCAACAACCCGTGTCCCCTGCATCTGCTCCCAGGGGTTCAAAACCTCCAGATCCAACTGTGTCGGCAATGGACTGAATGCATAATGGATTGAGAGCAATGGGCAGTATCTACAAATGAGTGAAGGTGTGTTAGTTTAATTATGAATATCCTATAGATCAGGGGTCCCCAACCTTGGCAACTTTAAGACTTGTGGACTTCAACTCCCAGTTCCTCAGCCAGCCTTACATTATAATACAATACAGATATTTTTTTCATTATCCAAATGAAAATCCAAATTATCTCATAGAGTTTACAAATTATCTCATAGAGTTTACAATCCAAATTATCTCATAGAGTTTACAATATTAAGATCTAAATATAAGCCAAAATACAGATTTCATACACCTTCTGAAGAAAGCACATAGAACCATTTTTTTGTACAGGGGGAAAAAAGTAGCCATGCTATATTTGAAAGATCTTCCAGTCAAAATCCTTTTTCTTGTAAAATCTTTCAGTATTCTGCAGAAGCAGAATTACAGGGATCTGCAATATATAGATTTTTTTATAGTGCTTCAAAGAAAATAAATTGTTTGTGTGAGGAAAAAAGTTTCTAAATATATCGGCTGAAATGAATTGTTTGAATTATTTTATTCAAGATCTTCAGATTTGCTCGAGTGCTACTTTGAGCCTACGAAGGCTGCATATTGTGGCATCTACTTACTTGTGAATCCAAATCTTCTCCTTTTATGCACAAGTTTGCATCAATGACATTTAACCCAACAAGCAATCCAACAATGACGGCTCCTTCTTCTTCCATCATCACTGCATGGTATTCATAAAATTCCCTGTAAAAGCATTTTCATATAATTTTAAAGACATTGTCAATTACTGGTCAATTTCAGAGCCAACCAATGTCAAACATTCCTTGTCTAGAATTTTTAAAAAACTGAAAAAACTATTTTTTTAAAAAAATGCCTAGTTCTGCAAGTATGAAATTAAATAATGTGCAACTGCATTTTGTATGCTTTATGCCCTGGGTATGCACCTTTTCCAACAGCTGGCAGCATGATGTAAATTTGAAGAATATATTAACAGCAAAAGAGAAAGAATACATTATTGTCATTATTGTGGTAAGTGCTGCCTGGGAAGGTCACAGGCATTACATTGTTGACTTCTGGTTTATACCACACTACTGTCAAAACCTGAATAATTGTTAGAATGTCCCCTTTCTTTTTTGTTCTACCAAACCTTTTAAAAACAAAGCTGTCAGGTCAATCAATTGGAACATTTTATTGAAATTTATAATTCAGAAGAAAAGTGAAATGCTCCCACTAGAAGCAATGCAATGTCAGCTGTTTTATTTAGCAAAGAAAATAAATATTTTAGCTAAGTTTGAATCACAATGCAATCAGTGTGCCCAGTTCTGTTCACAATCAAAGCACTGGTTTTTAATAAGAATCTGGATAAGGTCTCACCCGAGGAGATCTTTCCGAAGGATGAGACATCGGAGATAATCAGCCATTTTTTTCTGCATAAGTGCCAAACGTAACCAAGCCCGAGCGCGTCCTAATGAAGTCCTGGTTTAAAAACAGGAATAGAGACAGGAATTAAGACAGGGGTGTCAAACTCAATTTCATTGAGGGCCGCATCAAGGTTGTGTTTGAACTCGGGAGGGGAGGGGAGGCAGCTCAACATCTCTCGTGTCAGGGGTGCCTGTGGTAGCCTGAATGCTCTGCCAGCAAAAACTGGCTTCCTAGGTCCGTTTTTTATTGCAATGGCTTCCTGTAACTCTCTGCCAGCAAAAACTCTCATGAGCTCCATTTTCGCTGGCAGAGTCACTGTGGGCCGGTCCTTCGCTGTTTCTGGGGCAGCCTTGCGGGCCAGATCTAAACACCCCATGGGCCAGATCCAGCCCCTGGGCCTTGAGTTTGATACCCCTGGATTAAGCCATTTTCTATCTTTATTTGGAACACTGTTCTTAACCATTCTATATTCAATTTTAGCCACTTTACACTCTCAACAAAAATGTGTTTTCATAAAAAATTACCCTTCTGATTTAACCATTTATTTGACAAAAGTCTTAAGACACAAAATAAAAGATAATGTCCTTTTCTGTATTTGTGTTGGGCAAATACCATCCCGAGGAAGAAGAGATTAATGAATACCTTGCGGTTTCTACAATGAGCAGTTGGTCAAAGGCCAGGTAATTCCATCTAGGGGTGACTTACTGAGACTTGGAGGGGCACAGTGGTGGGATTCAAAAATTTAACAACCAGTTCTCTGCCCTGATGACTGGCTGGGTGGGCGTGACCATGGTGACCGTTGCCAGGGGGTGTGACAGGCAGCACTCAGCCTCTTGCACCTCCCTGGGAGCAAAAGACTACCCCTGTAGGGACCTGTGCCACCCCCCACATTTTGGGCCTAGTAGGCCTCCCTGCACTTATCTGGCAACCAAAACAGGGTGCCGGAGGGGGGGGGGGAAACGACTCCTGGAACCGGTTTGCCTGAATTGGCCCGAACTGGCTGAATCCCATCACTAAGCACATCCAAAAGAGACCATAATCCATAGGACTCTATTCTACTGAAAGCTTCAAAAAAATTAAGTCTACTCTTGTAAAGCATTAAGAGTGTCATGTATGACATGGGTAACTATAAATAATTCTTTATTTCAGGTCCTGGTTTTAAAAATAGCACTTTTGAATCACATCACATTCAATATTCTAGTTATTTTATTAAAATCTTCCCCTGATTAATTTGTGATAAGAACAATTTTTGACTGGGTTCATCCTCATGTGCTGTAGACCTACTCTGGCAACCAGATATTCCTGCCATGTCCATATTTCACCCCATGGCTGAACCAAAGTCACTTTTTCTCAAAACAATTTTAGCATAATCCATCAGGAATGTGGTTCCATATGTGATCAGGGCTGGGATCCACCACAAAAAAGACAGGTAGATTTGTTGCCAGCATTGTCATTCTCTTGCAGCACTTATCAAAGATGGAGTTCACTCATTTCCACTTTATCTTGCACCCCTACTTCCCATTTACAACTTGTCAGATGCTATTTGTGGCAACTTGAGCTGTGATGGGATCTGCCATTTCAAGCACCTGTCTGGCTTGCCTCGTGTTAGGGAGTGATGGATGGTTGCTCCCCATCAGGCAATGGCAGATGAAACATGAAACAAAAACCCTTTAAAACAGGAACGCTACTTAACAACAGAGTAGAGTAGGGCTCAGGAATCAGCAAAATTTATGCAACCCAACTTTTCTGCTGGGATTGATGGATTGTAGTTTAACACAAATATCCCCACTGCAAAGGAAAACAGCTCAATGGGAGAACAGACCTCTGGATGAATAAGATCCCATCTTCAATTTTTGCCACTCTATGGTATTTATAGGAAAACCTTGCCTCAAAAACCTGAAAAAACGACTGCCAGTTCAGACAATAAATGGGTAAATAATCTGATTCTGGTAGAATTTCCATCTTACCTTATTTGCATCAGATAAAACTTCATGTCTTCCTTTCTTACAATTTTGAATAACAACATTATTTCACCTACAGAATATTCTATAAGGTTAAGAAAAGTTACATACATTTTAATTGTGGAAGATGGATCCTTGTTCATTTCATTCTCATGATTTATGTATGGAAAGCAGTGAAGAAAATATTTCAGTATAATAACTTACTTGAGACCAGGTAAATCTCTAACGCTAGCAGCAATCTCCTCAGCTTCTGGATACAATTTCTCTACAAGTTCTAGAGGGCCCCATATTGTTTTATTATAACTTAGAAAAGATTTCTTTACTAGAAGACAAAAATAAACACATTTTGACTTTTTACACTCTATTTTACTTTTTTGGAACATTTAATATATTTGTTCCCTAGGCATCTGAGATACTTACTGGATAGACACAAATTGACCTCAAAAGTTTCGTTGCTAAGCAAAGCACTTGTTAAGTAAGTTTTGTCCCATTTTTACAATCTTTCTTGCCTCATTAGTCAAGCAAATCACTGCAGGAGCTTTTAAGTTAGCAACACATTTGTTAAGTCATAAATACATGCTAGGTGGCACATGTCTGAAGTTTGACAAAATGACCATGGGATTCTGCAATGGTCATTAAGTGTGAGTCACTTTTTTAATGCCTTTGTAACTTCAGTCATTAAACAAATGATTGCAAATTGAGAACTACCTGTTTTTGGGATGTTTGTAAACATTAATATTTTCTATTTAACATCAAGTTTAATTTAACGATGTCAGTAATTATTTTTTTACCGCCACTGCAGCCAGCTATGAAACTTACATAGAAGAAAAAGTAAGAAAAAGCCAAGATCACACTTCTAGACAGCCAAGAAATAATGGGAATTAGCTGATCAAAACAAATGAAGTCATTCAGAATCCAATGAAGGAAAACTGGCAATGAAGTAAAAACTGCTATCTTGAATACTGATAAACTCAAAGGAGGAAGTCACAGCTTCCTTCTGAATTGATTTAGAAAAGAACATTTGCACTAGGTCTGGAGGACAAATGAAAGTAAACATGGGTAGGCTAGCATGCAGCAGTGTGCACCAGTGATTCTTAACCTCAGTAACTCTTAAGATGTGTGGACTTAACTCTCAGAATTACACACATCTTAAAGTTGCTGAGTGTTGTGGCCCGCCAGCGGCCAGCAGAGCTGGTAGCTGATTCTGACAGTGAGGAGGTTGGGGAGGAATATGGGCCAGTCCTGGAGTCTGGGGAAGGCTCTGATGAGGGCTATGCATTGGAGACAGAGATGGGGTCAGGGCTGTATGCCAGCTGTCAGCTGCCTTCAAAGTCAGACATCAGTGAGGCAGACGAACAGCTGGAGCCTGTTCCCAGTGAGCGCATGCACAGAGTTGTCAGATGAAGGGAAGAGCTAAGGAACAAGGATCAACTTGGGAGTAAGGCCACAGGTAGACGATGAATGGCCCCTCCCAGAGGAAATAAAAGAGGAGCAAAAAGGGGGGGGAGTTTGCAGGAGACAATTAGTTCACTTAATTGGTTAGTGACACTCCGAGACTCCTTGCCAAGTTATCTGGCAGCTCCCCAAGCCAGATAAGGTCTGTGACTGTAAATCCTCCCTCGAAAGACTTTGCTGGATGTGAATGAGCAGAATTTACAGTAGATTAATAAAAAGGGGTTTTGTCGGGACAGGGAGTTTGCTTCATGCTCTTGGGAAGCCTAGATCAGAAAACTGAGACTGAGAAACATTGATATACGCTATGATTTAAAATGACTACAATGCAAATAAAGTAGCGGTCAGCCCTGGAGCCATTTTCCCCTGGCACCTCCAGGGCTGCCACAGCAGAGATGGGTCGAGCTATGGGAACCGGAGGGGGGAGATAGAGAAAGCTGGGGACTATAGGCAAAAGAAAATTCTTTCCTCTGAGAACCGAGGACTTTCCCACCAGGTGGGATCTAAGACCAAGTGACCCTTGGACTGTGACCTGATTGGGCCATGTGATGGACTGCATGGGCAGGGGAAAAAACTTTACTTTTAACTAGGGGAAAACCCAAGCGGGTTTTAGAGTCAGGTTTTCCCAGATGTACCAATATGACACGCCTAATAAATCTATATTTGAGGAATATGCCTGCCTTGGAATTTTGATTCCATTGGGTGTGTTACTTGGAACCCTGACAGTAACCAGTCGAAGTTGGCCCTCTCAAATGGCCAAATATAGAACAAAAATGGAATGAAAAGACTCACTCAGCCCAAAATACCATCTGTACCTTTCAGGCCGTGTTTCAGGCAGTGTTCCATGACAACAAAAAACTGCTGGAGAGGTGGATAATCAGAATCAAGAGTTCGCCCAAAGCTTAGAGCAGATTCAATGAGTCCCTTTATACTCAGTTTAGCCATGTTCAATAGATTTGTTCTTTCAATTGCCTGGGGGTCTTTCACAGCTTAGAGAGAGAAAGAGAGAGAGAGAGAATTGATTAAGGAAAATATTTTATTGATTAAGGCACAACAGCTATGTCCAAATATAAGAAAGTGAAAAGTGAAAAAACATCAAAGCAACAGAGCATTGTGCTAAGAAATATGGGGTATTTCCAGCAAAGCCAGCCACAAGAAGTTTTATCAACAATGTTGCAATATTAGCTAAAACCCTATTCCAATTTAGTTCTGGCAGCATTTTAACAATGACACATCATGTGACGATTGTTATTTCCTAGAATAAATCCATTTCACAGTATGGAGAAGTATAGTTATTATTCTTTTTTTTTAAGTCGGTTTATGAATTTTAAATGTTGACATCTCAAAGAGATTTAAACTTAAATTGAGGATTTCAAGTTAAGGCTTTAAACTAAAACCAACTGGTTATATAATAAAGTATTTGTCTTGTGGCTCACAGTTAACCTAATCGTTATGTTTGTAATGAAGAAAAATAGGGCATGTTTATCCACCTACTGAATCCTTCCCATGAACTGGGATAGGCAGATATTGTTTGATGGCATTGAAGATATCATCCGCAGGGTGTAAGCTGTTCCAAGTAAAGCTGACTTTCGCAATTGACGGATGGTGAATTTGTCAACGGGGATGAGTAATGCTCCAGATGTTTGGGCTTTCTTTTGCCACAGCCATTCTGCTTCTATCCACAGATCTTTCTATTTTATGATTTTTCTCCAGGTCATTCTTTTCTATTCTCCTTTCTCTGGATACGGAAATGTTCACTTTTTTTATTATTATTCCATATGATTGTTTACCATTTGTTGCTATCACCAATATGTTTATCATTGTTGTTGCTGAAAATAAACCTGGCCAGAATAGGAGATTCAGGTGGTGGGAATATTCTTTCCCATCCAGGCAGCATTCCTTGGCATCCAGGAATCCTCCAAGTGTGATTTTTGGAAGCTCTCAAGGGAAGGGCGATTCCTAGCAAATGGCACTGCTGCTTGAGGTTTAAGGGACAATCACAACCACCTAAAAGTGTAGCCAGCAATAAGCAGATCTCGATAAATTGGCCCTATGTCCTCTCAACTCTTGCCCTGCTGGTCCTCACTGCATCCGATCGGATCATTTTCCGTTGGCAGGAAGGACACACCTGCCTGATCTGAAAACCTAAACATCCCCAAACCCCCATAATTTTAACCTAAGACCTGTTGACCTCACCCCATTCCTAAGAGTTCTGTAAGGGGCATGCATAAGGGCACCAGTGGCCTTCCCTCCCTGTCCTACTGTCTCCATTTATTCATACCCATTTACTGTGTTCATATTTATGTTTATACTTATACCTGTTATCTTTTACATGTTTGACAAAGTATCCATCCATCCATCCATCCATCCATCCATCCATCCATCCATCCATCCATCCATCCATCATCTATCTATCATAAAAATAAAAAACCACGGGAAGCTACGTTGATTTGGGTTCCAGAATTACGGCCGTGGGGACAGAAAAACAGATCTCCCTCTTCAAATCAGAATCTTAACCGGCTCAGAGCCGCCTCGTATTTTCACGGCGAGTTTTAAGCCGAAGGCTTCTTCTCATGC